ATATATACGCACATAAAGCAAAACAACTTGCCTTTAAAAGAGTATGTAAGGTATAATAAATGACCAATAAAATGATAGCAATAGCTGTGTATCCCCATTGAAAAGAGATCATAACAGACAAAGTATTCCCATGCTGAGTAGTACAAATTCCAAAGGTTACTGTGACAATCTCGCTTCTTAAAGGAAAAACTAAGAATTGACTGGAAAAACTTTCCCCTGAAACATGAAGATATGCCTATATAGACTCTCCTGTGTCATTATCTAGTATTTCTTTTTAATATGTGTCTTGTCGGAAGTTTTAAAATAATATATTAAAAAGTACTGCTTCATGGAAAACTAAATATTTTACTCAGTGCTGTGTGTCAGCGCTTAAAGGGCTGTAGCATTGCTGGAGATTTAGCTCAGTGGTTCTGCTGCCTACCTCACAAGCACAAGGACCTGAGTTTGATCCCCGGTACCAAAAAAAAAAAAAAAAAAAAAAAAGAGTTGAAGAACATGTAAGACAGTGTTTCAGAGTGGGGCTTCAATCATCTGACCAGAATCATTGCAGCTAGGAGTTAGCACACTTTTGCTGTGAAAGGCCAATGAGCCTTTAGGCTTTGCCATACAATCCCAGTTGCAGCAATTCATTTCTGCCCAGTGTCATAGCACAATAGCAGCTACAGGTGTTTCATACCTGAACGAGTGTGGCAGTATGCCAGTAAATCTTTATTTACACAAGCAGGCTGGATTTGACTCACATCGGGGGTGGTGAACACCTAACTTATAGCAGTTCTTCTTTTCTCTTTTTAATAATGTAACTTACATTAGGTAATATATATCTCACAACCCAGCACTTATGCACACACACACACACACACACACACACACACACCCTTTTCCTTTATTTATTTTTTATTTTTTGACATACTAGGGAATCTAACCCAGGTCTTCACACTGAGAACCAACCCCTTTTGAGACAGCTGGAACCTGTGATCCCCGTTCCTCAGCCTCCCAGAGTACTGAGATTACAAGTGTATGCTATCAGGCCTGGCTATGAAAAAATGTTCTGGAAAACTGGACCTGCTCTTTCTACCAAGAGTGCTTTCTACTATTTATTTTTTTCTTCTTATCTACCTGGTTTTCTCAACATTAGTCCTGAACATGCTAATGATTCATCATTTGAAGATTCAAAATCATTCACTTGCTTGTTGAAATGCAAACCCCTACCACTTTGCAAATTAGGACTTCTTAACCAGAATATTGGAGGTACACACTAACATCTACAGTTTTTATTTTAAAAAGATCCTGGCTGATTTGTTCTGCTTTGAATCCTATGTTTGAGAAGCTCTCAGCAGGTTTACCATATGGAATTGTACACTGACTTATAATTAAAATTGTGTCCCAATATTCTCTGAAGAACATTCTGGTATTTTCACTGGGAGCTCTTGTTTTTGTCTTGCTTCAATTTATGCCCAATTTAGAGCTTTTTTTTTCTTTTCCTCTTGTGTCACTTTTAATTTCCAGTATTATAAGAGAAGAAAAAGATGGAAGTAGAGTCCATTCATCGTCACATTTATAATCTTTATGGTCTCTACTAGCCATATCTAAAGGATAAGAGATTGGCATAAAATTATTATAAAGGCATATTTTGACCTTATATTCTTTTTTAGAATTGTATTGAACATCTTCAATTTTGCCATGTAATTCTACCTTGTATTGTGTGATTAAATACCCCATTTACTTGGCTTGCTCTAGGATTATAAGTTATTTTCCTCCTGGAATTTTTCCTTCCTCTGACAATTTCTAATGAGTGTATTCTAATATCTTGGATTGGACTAGAGGGCTACTTTGGCTTTGCCTATGCATAATGATGCCAAAAGCTAAATTCTATTTGGTGTAAAGTAAGGGTTACTTTATTCAACTAAGGTACACAGTTAATCTGTTGGGGGCAGTAACTACAATTATAATTAGTTAAATCTTTTCCCAGGCTCAAGATCACATATTGTTTGCCCCCATATTTCGATATTTTGTTCTCCGACTCTCCTTTCAGTAGTTTTTCTCACCTTTGCCTGAAACCTTGTGCCTGCCACTCCACAAGTCAGCACTGACTTCCTTTGTTTGCTGCAGTACATACTTGGAATTGGCTGTTCCTTAGAGGCCTCGAGTTCTGACATCTCTTTCCTTCCTTTTCTTCGATTAGAGTTGTCCGGGGATGATAATGATGACTTGGAGAAAGGAGGAATTTCTTGGAGTTAGCAAGAATTCTAGAGGGAGCCTGAGCCAGCCTTGTCTGTAAGACAGATTAGCCGGCCTCCTCCCTACCCTTTCACCCAAGGCTATTTTCCATTCCAGAATTATCATAAAGCCAGCCAAAACCTGTCCCCGGGTGTGTGGATGGGGGCACTAGGCACAAGGCAATTCCAATTAGCAGTCTAATTTTAACTTGGCTTCTGGCCAGAGGGCTTCATCTCTTAGTAGATTTCAAATACCAGAGTGACGGTCAAGTGGGTTACCTTGGACTTCTCGTGGCCTGCCTGAGAGGTTATGGTCGATTACACTTGAAGGTCATTCTCAAGCAAGACAGAATCAGGAATTGGAATGGAGGTTGTGAAGTAAATATGCGTTTTTATCCCAACTGGGAAATGCTTATCAAAATAGTTCTTAGTTATCAAGCGAGCACAAAGTGCCTGGAAATGACGTTCCCAGCAGAGGAAATGGCCCAGCTGTGCTTTTCTTGGCTTTCCCTCATCTGCTCAACAGGAAAAATATTAATCAATGGGAAAAACGCTCCTTTTTCTGTTAATTTAACACATGAATTTTAGGTAGTGTGGGAAATACTAATACCTAATGCTTTTACATTACAATTTTATTGCATGGATCACCAAGAACTTTTTAGAAACTAGTTTTTGCTTAAGCCTCAAATTTGCACCTATAGAGATGTTTTATTTTCTTGCTAGCACAGCTGAAAATCTGAGATAGAGCAAGTTCCAGGGTTCCCAATGGTCTTGCAGTAATTGTGTGGAAAGTGGAGGGAAGAGGTCTAGTGAAACTTTCTAAGTTGCCACTGTGAAACACCTTTTTTTCTCATCAATAGGGAAGCAATTAGTAATTCAGTATTTCCTCATAAAATGAATTAGCAACCCTTCTTCAAGGAGATAAAAAGTGCATTTAAAACAAGAGTCCCATAACTGGGCTTTCCAGAATTTGATCTCGCTGTATGCTTATTTTCGAACTTTTATGGGAAGGTGACTTATGTACAGCAGAGTGGTCACATCCAAAGGGTCCAGCCTGCTGTCTTTTCACTAAGCAAGCCCGGCTAGTTAACCATGTGTCTCCTTGCCTCTTCTGTTCAAGGTGATGAGGCTTCGCAAACTTGCTCAGCAGATTGCAAACTGCAAACAGTGCATTGAGCGGTCGGCATCACTCATCTCACAAGCAGAGCACTCTCTGAAGGAGAACGATCATGCCCGCTTTCTGCAGACAGCGAAGAACATCACCGAGAGGTGAGTGCAGGGCTGCTGGTTGCCGGTTTGCAGGGTGTGACGAGGTGGCCTTGCTCTCTCCTTGCATTTGTTCTCATTTTCAAGGCTGAGACAGCCTTGAGTTATTTGTTCCAGCTAAAAGTGCTTTCCTTTGAGGCCCTTTCAGTAACAGCCTGGACTTCAAGGTCTTTGAAACAAGAGTCCACCAGTGAGAAAGAATGAAATCAACTTGCTTTGGGTGGGGGGAGCTTATGCTGGCACAAGAACAGCAAACAGCATTCACTGTGACTCTCAGGCCTGATCTCATCATCTACTTGGTAACAGAATGGAAATAAAGGTAAAATATAAAAGGGAATCTTCCTCTGCAGGTTATTTATCTTAAAAACAAAACAAAAAAACTACTGCACAGGTGTTGTTCTCTGTTAGGCCTGTTTTTATTTGGTTGAGAAACTGGACCTCACCAGAGAATGTCAAAGTTGACTAAAGCAGCGGAGAAAGGGCCAAGCTGTCACTCTCATACAGCCTTCTTTTCAAATACTCTCTACTCTACAAGAAGGGATTTTAAAATAATGTTATCCAAAGGGCCAGCTCAGCAGTAAACCTGGCAAAGGATGAGTATTCCTTTAACACACCTACCTGATTTGGCATAAAAATTATTCATCTCCACTGATGTAAACATCTGTAGCAATTCTAGTGGCTTTGAGAAGGAGCACAGAGTTGGGCTGGGTGCAACCAATGCCACATAAATGTCATCTCTGAGCAACTGTCAATGACCTCGACTTATCATTCTAATTTGTGACCCAGCTGCCCTTTATGCAAAGTAATAATAGAATCCTATGGTCAAAAGATGACAAAGAGCTCATTAGTGCGGGTCTTTATCCCAGAGCACAGATTGACAAACTTTTTCTGTAAAGCATCAGAAAGTAAATATTTGCGGCTTTACAGGTTGTAAGGTCTGGGTTACAACTACTCAAACCTGCCTTCCGAGCTTCACAACAGCCAGACGATATGGAAACAAATGGCTATGGCTGAGTGCCAATAAAACCATTTACACAACAGTCTGCAGATCTGACTTTGCCAGCCCATGGCCTAGGGCAGAAAGAATGCTCATCATTTTATGACTGGAATGTCTTCAAAGAAGGAAAAAGGAAACTAACATTTATGGAGTGATTGCCTGTGTTAGACACTCTGCTAATAATTCTCAAAACATCTAGAGGTAGGCCTTGGTATTTCTATTTCCACTGTGTTTTATGTGTAGTGTACAGTATTTTTTATATATATAGTTTTAGTCTTCTACTAGCCAGCAAGCTCTGTGGTGTTACTTGTTACATTTGAGAAAATTCCTTTCGCAGCAGATGAGATACTTACCTCTTTTAAAGGACATCGATAACAGCTGGCTATCATCCCTTTTATGTCCTTAAAAAGCTCTCCTCCCAACTGTAAAGAGAGGCCAATTTCTTTCCTCCTGACTCCTGAGTGTTTAATTGTTTGCACCCCTCTCATCTGAATTGCGTCCAACTGCTCATTAGTCACCCTAAAGTTAGAAACTTCAAACAGCACTAATAGGGCAGCGGACCCAGGGCAGTATGACAGCTTTTACACTTAGGTCAGGTTCCCAATCTGGAATCCAGGAGTCTGTGTCACCACCTGACCATGGGGTGATGTTCAGATTAAGTGGTTTCTATGAGTTGCATGCTAGGAGATGCAACCAATTCCAATGAGTGTCACACGAGTAAACTCTTCCCCTCGCAGCTGAGAGTGAGGTCCCCTGACAGTTCAGCTGGAAGGGCGCATGCAGTTAGGCCAGCACAAGCAAGTCCACACCTGTGATCTCCTGAAGACCTGGCAGGGTGTGCCTGATCCCTCTCAGCTCTCCTCATAACAGGCCCGTTTCATCAGGAATAGAAACATGGCTTTCATTCCTCTTGCCATGAAGAATGTGCTTCTGTTGAGTTTCAGTATATGGTGCCTGTAAAAATCTGCTGGAAGCCCTTATCCCTCTGTTTCTGCAATCCCATTCTTCCCATTTCTTATTTGCCAAACTTCTGGGTTAATTTCTGAGCTTTTCTCTTTCTGGTACCTGGGATGAAGTAAAAGTGCACCCAGGTTTAGACAAGAAGTTGCAAGACCTGTGTTCAAATCCACACAGTGTTTGTGTTTTTCTATAATTCTTTAAGCTACTTACTACTTAGAAATTGAGCTCATAGTGGCTACCTTTACTGTGATAATTTTGCTGAAAATTCCTCAGAACAGGTCTCAAGCATCACAGGCATTCTATAAATGCAAGCTGACATAGTATTTACATATTTCCTCTTTATTTCAATGCTACTGTTTGTCTGCCTGCCTCTGTTCTTCAATCTGTGTTTAACATGCTTCTCTAATACATAATTTCCTGGTTTTGTCTCCTCTTTGTCCTAGGTTTTCACTTCTATATACAGTACATCCAAATCACTTTTATTCTTTTACTCAAGTGTGGAGCTTTAGATCCCACAGATGATCCTACAGTGAGATTTAGATGACATTTTCCTATATCATTAAATCAGTTAAAGGGAGTATATTTTCCTGTAAGCTGAATCCAAACTGCAAAAAATGTTTTCAATTGAGAAATGTTAAGCAACCCCAAAAGGAGTTAGAGCCTCAAGCTTTACATTGTAGGAGATGCATATGCTTTGTAACCAACTGTTTAGTTGTGTGCTAATTGCCTAATAATTATAGATAGCATTGAGGCTGCTCATTAACACTTCTGAGTCTGATTTTGTTTATAAGCTCCAAATAGGCACAATTGCTGGCCATCGTGTTTTCACTATTATGGCCCCAGTACACTGCAAACTTCTTAATGTGAATTAATGAACAAATGAATCTAGATACAGGGTCAAACTTTCCTACCTGATAGATATGAGGATGAAATGCAATAATACAGCAAAAACATTAATTAACCCAGTTTCTTTCACAAGGTGAATGTGCAAAAAATGTTAATTTCCTTCCCTCCTACTTACTGGATGAAAATTTAATGTGTAATACACTATTCTCAAGCACACATAGGTGTTTGGTATGATTGTATAGGTAGACACCCTTCTAACATTATGTTAAGAGTAGCAAAACTACTCAGCAAATCTGGGCACAAGAATGCTGCTCTACCACTTGCTTACAAAGAATCTAAAGGTAGAATTGCTTGTAGCAGCACATTGTCAAAATTTCCTCTGAACAGATTCCATTTTTCAGAGCTCCTAGGAGGTTTTCAACCCCGAGGCAAGCCCTCTGTTCCTCACCACCACAGGCAGATCAAGGATCTGTCAGGTTTTTCCAGAAGATAAAGCTAAGAACTCCGGCTGTGAACTCTAGAAAGATGTCATGTCTTAGAATTAGATCACATCTCACGTGTGGGTTTGGAAGTGTAGTCTCTAGACAATGTTAATACATAGTATGATTGCAACAAGGTTCTGGGGCCAGATGTATTTTGGAAAGCCTGAACTGGCCAAATACAACACATTTTGTCACTGTGACATTCACTGACTGCATTTTACCATGGTGATGTGCTTTGTTTGGCAGAAGCCCTGCGAACAGTGTAGCTCTTCCACCTTCTGGAAAACTGGCCCAATGTGGTTACTAACAGCCAAGTGTCACGGAGGTTAGATTAGAGCTCAAAGCAGAAATATAAACAGGGAGCAATGTGCACCCCACCCTCTTAAGTATCAGGGTGGGACAAGGTGCTATTTGCTCCAATATGTTAAGACTTTCACACGCCCACACACACACATGTCTGCATGTGTACGCCACGCACACACTCACACACATGTGTACAAACAGAAACACAACTGTAAAACAAGGAAGTGAAACAGTGGTGGAGCCCTGATAGGTGTTGGAAATTCATCTATTGGTTCTGCCGCCTGCCTCACAAGCACAAGGACCCGAGTTCGATCCCTGGTACCAAAAAAATAAAATAAAATAAAATTTAAAAAAAAGGAAATTCATCTAACAGGTGGAGAGATGGGCAACAAGGGCTTGGACAATAAAAACATGGCCTAAAATGTTGAATTTGGCAGATTTTCTCTTGCGTGTCACTCCAATCAAGCATTTGAAATTGTAGCCATAGATACGTATCTTTCCTTCTATCAAGAAAAAACTGTGTAGGTGTTAAAAGCTGCAGTAATAATCTCTGCCGCTCCTTGCCGTCAGGCTTTGCCTCCAAGGCTGGGCACCTCTATCCTTTTGGCTCCCAAACAGCATTTCTACTGGCAAGAAGGCAGGCCCTCAATGAAAACCCATTTTGTTTTTAATGGGAAGAAAATCTATCTTATTTGTTGTTGTTGTTGTTGTTGTTGTTGTTGTTTTGGTACTAGGGATAGAACTCGGGACCTTACCCTTGCGAAGCAGGTGGCGCCACTGAACTAAATCCCCCGCCCAGAAATTCTATTTTGGATGAGCCCGAACAAAGCAACTATCCAAAGCCAGATTATCTGCACAGAATAGTCTGACCTGTGAAACACACAGTCTGTGCTGTGTATAAGTGGAATAATGCAATCCTAAATTGAGTGCTTGTTTCCACACAGCCCAGTGCAGTCCTCCCTGTTGGGCGTGATGAAACAGAAGTGGGCTTTTCACTTTAAGAATGTGTTTTGAGGAGTGCAAATGGCACCATAGCATTTCTTTGAATCTCTCTGCACCGATGCAAATATTTGGGGCTCTTTTAGTGTATGATATTCTTTAAGGCCATCGTAAACATATTTGTTGAAGGTTGGGTTTGACTAGTGAACTTGCTCATATTCATTATTCTAAATTAGTGGCTGTTAATATCAACAATTACCCAATTCCTTTGGGTGCAATAATTAGTCAATAAAATCTCACAGCTCTGCTATTCACTGCTTCTTGGTGAATCAGTCAGGAAATGAAGTTAAGATTCTCTGTCTTCTTTTATACACGTGAAACTTTTCTTTGCAGAGTTCATGCCCAATTAGACCATTGGTAATCTGTCTTCTTCCCTCCCTATATAACATTGCCAGGAATAAGAATTCCTATTTCCTTGGATTTACAAGAATTTTGAACATTTCATGGGTAGTTTCTTATTGAGGTGAAATTAACATAAAGTAAAATAACCATTTTAAAGTATATATCTCTGCCTTGCCTGGATATCTGATACTAGTGGACCATTTAGTATTCAGTTAGATTTAGCATAATGTTTGTCGATAGTATAGTATGCGTCAGAATCCATTCCTTTTTGTGGTCAAATAGTATTCCACAGTGTGGATATACCCACAGGTATAATTTTTATGGTCAGTATGTAGTAACTTCCTAAAAATCTAAAGCTTTAAGAGCCACTAAAAGATTTAAGCATAAATACAACCCTTGAAATAACTGGGCTGAAAATTTTCTCTTTAAAATGGAAATGTGCTGATCTGAAATTCTCTTACCTGCACTGTACATATGGCCATCAATGCTATTTATTCAAAAATAAGTAATTAGATTTAGAGCTAAGTCATTTCAAAGTAGTTTCTTTGTACAAAGCTTCCCAGTGCCCTAAAGTTTATGAAGCTTAGCAAAATACCAAACAAGATTACAAGTGGGCTAGTATGTTCAGAAGTGGTATACTTCCAGCCACGATTTTCTTGGTTTTAAGAGAATCATTTGCATCTTTGAATCAGTCAAAATGTTCTGTTAATAGCTTTCTGAATCAGCTTGAGAGCACCTACAAGGGAACTGGTCCCTTCCAATGTCTTAATTTCTCGTTTATACACCAGAGCCCTGACCAGAAAGCCTGAGGTGCAGAGGACACAGCGTAGCCACTGGGCAAATCTGGGAGAAAGCTCATGAATATTTTCCGTGGCATCTGCTGGGAGTATGGTGCAAAAAAATGAATCCAAGGAGAATGAAAACGAGCCAGACAAAAACTCTTTTCTTAATGTTTATTTTAGAGGGAGGCTAGTAATTGATTAAACTAACCCAATATCTGGAACCATTCTTTTTTAATCTTCACTTTGCCTTTTATGCAGTTGGAAGTTTGGGGAGACTCCCCTTTGAAGTGGAGCAGGGCGAGTCTGCAGGAGCAAACAGTTTTCCAGACAGATGTGTGCAGAAATGCCTGGAGCTATGTGCTTCTTGCTGGGGTTCGATGTGACGGGACCAGGCTGTTAAACACATAGCGGCATGAAGTACGAATATTCTTTCGCCTCAATAGGGAATTATTTTTCCGATAGTAAAAAGGAAAGGGGAAGCTGTTCTGTTGCTTTTCCCAGTTCCCTTGCTTCTTCTTTATACTTGTGTTCGCTTGCTTTGTATTACTGTGTTCTGCCATCCCAAGCTTCTTCTTAAGGCTTAGGTGTAAAGAGAGCAACGCTTTAAAAAGAAGAATATTCCTTTTCCTTTCATGTTTTTTCATTCCCACACAATGATGGTGAAAGCTATCTTGACATCTCTAAAAAGTTGTTTTGTTTTCCTTACAGAGTCTCCATGGCAACTGCATCTTCCCAGGTCCTAATTCCTGAAATCAACCTCAATGACACGTTTGACACCTTTGCCTTGGATTTTTCCCGGGAGAAGAAATTGTTAGAATGTCTGGATTACCTTACAGGTATTATCTTTTATACTCTCCTTAATATTGTGTACATTCAGTGTTACGAATACTTTGCTACCACATCGATGTATTTTCTAAAACCCAGAGGTGCATACTTTTGGTTTAGGAATTGTCTCTGAAATTCCCGTAAACAATTTGGTCTTAACCAAGACTAAACTTGGAACAGGAGAAAAAAAGAAAATCACAATCATTAAAAGGATACTTATCGCCATTTCCTTTCCTTTCAATGTGGGGTGCTAAATATAATAGCTTTCCTGGCCATCCAAGAGAAGCATAAGGTTTTGGGTGTAGTTTTCATTTCAAGTTAGTAAGGCACCTGATTCTAACAGTACAATGGCAGAGAAAATCGGCAGCTAACTAACTGGGTATCCACCTTGCCCCCCACTTCTTCTAATTGTGATCTTATTTTAATCTTCACAATACTAAATCCTCATGTGGGGAAGACTGCATGCCAGCCATGCTGAGGGTCAGACAGCAAGGGAGTGGGCAAATCAGGCTTTGGCTCAGGTCTATACAGACTTTAAAGACAGAACTTCATCTTGGAAAATGTCACAAAGATGACATTGGGATTCCCGGTGCCATGTTTCAGCCCTTTGCTTTTGATTGCCCTCCCCTGTTTTGGTCAACCCTAGAAAACACCAAATGAAAGAAAAAAGAAGAAAAGAACAAATAAAAACAAAAAACAGGCTACTCCTATTCCTAGCAACACAATCTAAACTTTTCTTTGCTGTCAGCCTTTAAAGCAGAAAATGAGAACACTGGATGGTGGAAAGAACAGGGACTATGGAGACAACCTTATTTGTGTTAGTTAAAGCCACCAGGATGGTGACTCAGGAAAGCAGTGTATACAGTGAAGCCAGATGTGCACTATCCTGAGAACACCAGGCCTCCCTGAAGCTGTGTCTCTAGCTGAGGGTGGCGACGGCCTCTTGACTCCTATCCCGTGTGTGCCTGCTTGTGGGTGAGTGGTCAGGAAAGGTGGAGCAGGCGATGGCAACGTTGTGTGGCATTTGTTTTTACAGTCTGTGGATAGAAGGCAGTGAATTGTATCTTCCAAGAGCAGTACACCCAGAAGAACAGAATTTTTCCCTTGTGAAGACACGAGGTGCTGCTTTTAGCCTTCGTACATTTGCAGGAAGGCAAGCCATTCCACAAGCTTCTTATCTTAGGCAATTTTCTTTTTCAAACATACAGCTCCTATTAAGAAAGAAAGAAATTGATTCAAAAAGCATTTAAAGTAAGGACTTAAACTTGGTCTCAAAATTTATCAATATAGTGCCTTCCTTTTTGCGCATTTATTTCTGAGATTTATTTGTTTATTTATTTTGTGTTTGATTTTGAGACAAGGACTCACTACGTAGTTCAGGCTGCCCTTGAATTTACGATATAGCCCATGCTAACCTCCCTCTAGTGGCAGTCCTTCTACCTCGCCCTCGCAAGCACTGAGATTACATGTCTGCACCACTGTGCCTGGCTCTGAGAGTTAAACTCACCATCCAATAGTACCTTCTTCAATGACAGAAATGTTCTATATCTGCACTATCCAATATATTAACCATTGGGCACATGGGACAATTGAAAATTTGAAATGTGGCTGTGAATCTTCACTTTCATTTAACATTAATTAAATTTAATGAAAATTTAAACAGCCACATGTAGGTCATAACTATGCAGTGGACAATGCATGTCTAAACTTTCTCTGAGATATTTTTCATGATGTCATTCTGTTTAAAATTTCCCCACTTAAGTCATTTGGGAATGAGTTTGGTTGCAAGCAACAGAAACTCCAACTGACGGTGACTTAATGAGGAGTGCTTGTGTCACAGAGACAGAACAGAGGTGTGTCATCCAGGGCAGGACAGTGGTTTGAAGATGACCTCAGACATCAGGTTCTTTCTCTTTTCCTACTGTGCCATCTTTATTATCTTGTATTTTTGCTACATGATCACAACATGGTTGTCTCCAAGCATTATACTCATCTTCTAGGCAAAAGGCAAGTAGTGAATCTGTTCATCAGAACAATAAAATCTTTCTAAAAAACCCCATCTAGAGAACTTCCATTTATGTCTCTTGGGCCAGGTCCATGTCATGATGTCCTTCCCAAGGTCAGAGAAGACTAGAAAATTAAATATTTGCCTGGCCACATGGGCAGGCTGCCCAAAATCGATGTCTCTTTGACAAGAATGTGTCTTCTTATTTTCCTATAATTGTTAATAGTATTCCAAAAATATATGAGCATTTTAATTTCTATAGAAATTAAGAGTAAGAGTATTCATTAATGGGGAAATTATGAAAGCAGTGTGCATTGACTATATTGCACACTATGAGTATGCCATACATCATGCCAATGGCTCTTTATCCCAGACTAAAGGCCATATGTGGTACCTGCGATTATGTCTTCTGAGCTGTCAACCCCAGATACAAGTTCAGTCTCTTTCTAGACATAACATCAATCCTGGCCATAACAAATGATGCATGGTTGACACTGCCAAGTCCAAATAGTTTATCATACATTTATAAGCAGGAAATAGAGTGTTTGTGGAGTATTAGCCCACCATTCCTTGTGTGATGCTTGTGATGAAGGCAAGAAAATAACAGTTTTGGTACCGATACCATGAGAATTGAAATTGGCAGCATGCTGCTGCTCTCATTTACAGTAAATTAGGTATTGACTTTTCAGGACAAACCCATTGGGTTTACAATGAAAACAGGGTTAGCCTGCCGGGTTGTGAAAACAACGTTTTTCCCCCCATGACATGACTCTAAGTGGTATGTCAAGTTAATAACCCATAGAGGTGACATTTCCTTCCTGATTACAGCTACTGCCATGTGTTTCACAGCTACTTGCCTATTTTAAACTCATGCTTTTTAAAAATAGTTAATCATATAATTGCAGTGCAAAGAGAGCAAAATCTTTCTACAGTGGTCAGTGGAGAAATAATTCAAGGTACTATTGAAGATGTGAAAGAAGTATTTTTTCACCGATCCATTCAGGGATGGTCCCAACCCAACAGGGACCACACAGACAATAATAAAAACATTTTATGATGCAGCTGGGACTCCGTGGAATGCATCTCCTGATTGGTGTCACTGCTTCATGCACGTCTAAGTCACAGCATGTGATCCTAAATTTCACATGTGTATACTTCAGCAGACAGATGTACAAATACAAATTTCTGAAAGAATGCTTTATGAGTTGCATAGGGCCTTCTTTTTCAATGCACAACTTAATGCAGACCCTTCCCCATTGTGAGCACCCACTAATGTTTGTGGAATTCAACAGCCAGTGGGTAAAACTGAGCTTGTTAGCTTAATACACCAGACTGGTTCTGAGGTATCCTAGATATATTTATAGAAAGCAAAGTGAAGGCTACTGAAACAAAGTTTTAAGTTTACCATTTCCATAAACTTGTCCCCCTTTGCGGGTTTCTTTAGGATTCATTAATTCCAATCAGAATTTAGAACCAAAAAGAACCCTGCAAGAATGTAAGTAAAGGTTGCCCTACATCTGTGGAACGCATACAGGTTTCTCCCTTTGAAGTTAGGTTCTGGTACACAGAAGAGTGGAAAGCAAAACTCTGGATCAATTCTCTAGACCAGAGGTTGGCAAACTTTGACAGTAAAGGGCCAGATGTTAGATGTATTAGGCTTTGCAGGCCATATGGTTGCAACTACTCAACTTGGCTGTTGTGCTAAAGCAGCCACAGACAATATGTGACTGAATGAGCCTGGCTGTGTTCCAATAAAACTTTATTTACAAAAACAGGCAGCAAGCCAAATTTGGCTCACGGCCATAGTTTACCAACCTCTGCTCTAAAGTATTATTGCCAGTGCAAAATATTCATTGCCTAGGTTTCTTTCTTATTCACATAGTCTCATAAAACCAGTTACTGAAATCATTCCAGTGGAAGTCATTGAAAAAATTATTGTTTTTGTACAATTTAGGATTATCTTCCCCAGAATGCATTAAAGAAATGAAAAGTGATAAAGTTAATCAAATGCCAAGGAATCATATTTTCCTTAGGAAAGAAAAGCGTATTTCTTAGATATTATTGATTGTAAATCATGGTCTTATTTAAAATATCACCTATACATTGAGAAATAAGAAAATAGGACTGCACTTATAAGTTCTTAACAGGTATCAAAATATCTAATGGAAGAAAATTTTGAGATGCTTATCTGATTTGCTATAGGATAATAAATATCAGTATTTTTCTGATTGGGTACCTTCACATAAAAATATCTAGTATCATGTAGATTAAGGATTGGCAAGTTGAGTCACAGGCTGATTTCGGCCCTCTGTTGAATAAAGTTGTCTTGGAACCTGGATTATACTCATGTGTGTACAGATTGTCTACAGGTACTTTAATGCCATCATGGCAGAGTTGACTAGTTGCAACAGCAGCTATCTGACCTGCAAAGTGATAGCACTTGTATTGCGCTAGTAAAATAGTTGGCTAAAATATTTGCCATCCATTCCTTTCCTGAAACAGTTTGCCAACACTCTGAAGTGAATGAAACTACAAAAGTTCCTCGTTTCCTTTTTCCACACCTTTTTTATGAGTACATACTGGTTATACAGATTCCCAGGTTTCATTTGGCAGTTTTGGACATGGACATAATGTACTTTGATCATTTTCATCTTTTTCATGTTCTCCTTCCCGCACAAGAGAGTATTGTTTGCTTAACCTCTTAAACACATTCACATAAAAAACAAACTGGTACAATTTTATACTGCCTGGCTCTAGCCCTACTCCTTGTTAGAAACAAGACCAATAACCAGCCATCTAAAATTTTCTGATTTGGGGGCTACCATCTCTAGGACAATAGGCCTGATGGGCCTATTTAGAAAGCCTTGCTCCAACAGTCAAATATCTTCTTGGAAACAGCATGCAGTGGTGTGTGCTCCTCCACTGATGAGCATTCTTTACCCCCACAGCTCCCAACCCTCCCACAATCAGAGAAGAGCTCTGCACAGCTTCGTATGACACCATCACCGTCCACTGGACCTCAGATGATGAATTCAGCGTGGTCTCCTACGAGCTCCAGTACACTATATTCACTGGACAAGCCAATGTTGTTAGTGAGTATCTCATGGCCTACTCACTTCTGTAGCTGTTTTCAGGTACATTGCATTTTTCAGTTTAAACACCAAGGGAAGACAAGGAAGGAAAAAATGCATAATATTTAATGGCTTTGTCTTTGCTGACCAAGAAAAAGCTAATACTGGTACTGTACTAGTAAAATAATTGGCTCAATACTGATGAAAATTAGAGACCTCTTGTAAACCACATGGATGAATCTCACAAATAAGTTGTTAAAGGAAAGAAGCAGAAAATGAAAGAAGACATACAGTGTGAATTGATTTATCAATTCATAATTTAAAGATCAAAATAAACGATTTTGCTTTAAAATATACTCCTAGCTGTTAATACTATAAATATTAATCAGGGTGATGGTTACTTCTTGAATGGGAGAGAGAATGGCACCACTGGGAAGAAATATTTGGGCATTCGTGGGGTAACAGCAATTTCTGGGTGGCAGTTATGTGCTTTAGTCATTACATTATTTTAGTTTCATATGCTTTTCTGAATGTCATTTTGTAATTTTCAGAAAAAAGAAAGGATTTAATAAAATGAATCACCAAAGAATGCCACATACCTGTTCTCTCTTTCAGAAGTAATCTGGGACCATCACTTCAAATGTTAGTAGCTGGCCCCATGTGGGAAGAATTTGTAGCCCTACCTGAGAGCCCATCTCTCACTGAGAACTGTTTGATGTTTAACATCAAGGACAATTTGGTGATCTCCAATAGCAGTGGCTGGCCAAGAGATGATAAGGGAGGGAATACGCCTCTCTCTACCCCATAGTTAATCTAATTCAGTCAAGCAAAGAGCAAAGGGCCAGAAGAAATGGCTTTTAGGAAAATAAATCTCAAACTTGTTTAATGAAGGGGAAAAGAGTATGTCAAAGTAGACTAGACTAGAACAGTCACTTTTCAACAAAGAGATGGTTTGAATAAATTCGTATCAACTTAATATACTTTTATTATATAAACCCTTTCCTTCTTTATGACACTATTCTTTGGTGGCACACATAGTTCTGCAAACATGCTTAAAAGAGAAACTTGATTTATGATTAATTAAAATAATGATGCACAAAGACACCAATTTCTAAGTGGCTAAATTGTAAATGACTGATACTAAATAATAGTTCCTCTGACCTCCCATGTAACCACTTTTCTCAGCTTCCTCTCCCACCATTGCAACTTCATCCCCTAATTGGTCTACCTTAGAAGCTTTCATTAAAATCTTACCAGTTTCCAAAAGTGTGTAATTTTGAGTGGAAGGGGGAATGTTGTGAAATTTCTCATCAAGAACAGCTTGGCCAGCTGCAGAGTAGGTAACAAATAGAGAGAGGGCATAAGTGATTGGTGGAGCAAGAGGGTCTTGGGGAAAATTATCTTTAAACTGTCTTGAAAGGGAGTGGCTCCCTAGCAGCAAATTAGAGGTTTCACAAACATCTGGATCTTCACAAGCAAGCCTGTGGAGGCACAAAGTCGCAGGGCATGCTGGGAGACTTAACAGAGTCAGCCTGAATGGAGAGTTCGGTGAGGAAGGTGAGACAGAAAAACCAAGAGAGAGAAGTAGAGCCAGAACTCAAACCTTATCAGTCTGGCTCCAAAAACATGTGTCCTCAGTCATTAGTCACTTAGTTTTAATTTGGAGGCAAGAGACAGTCATAGAGGTTCACCCAGGCCACATGACAACTGGGTTTTACCCTGTAAACCTAGTAGTTGTGCAGGGCAGTGGTGTGCTCAACTGTACAATTAGAAGGTGACTGAGAAGCATAGTGGAGAATAGAGTGGAACAGAGTAAAATCAGCAGCAGGGACAGCAACTACAATATTCGTAGTAATTCACTGAGATGAAAATAGCACTCAGAGTGAAGGAGAGGAAATGCCTTCTGTGCTGCTGGTCCCTTTCTCCCGGAACATCATTGCTATTCTCAAATACTTGAAGTGCTTTCTGAGACAAGTTCCGTGAACAGTGCTTTGATATTATTTCACTTTCCTTCCAGGATTCCTCATAGTTGCATAGGCCCTGCAACAAATCATGTAGAAATACTAATTCTCTAAAATCTTTTTTTGTGTGTGTGGGCACATGGACAGGCCATTCTTTACCTTGTTTGATGATTTTTTGTTGTTTTTTACGCAATATCATGTCTGAGGGATTATTCTATTTCAGCACAAATAAAGTCTCATTTCCTCTTGAGGCAGCATTAGTATCCTACTGTAAAGATGTACCCTAATTTATTTAGCCCACGTTTGTTCTGTTGATGAATATTTTGCTTATTTCCAATCCTTAGCCCTTATTCATTGCCTAAGTGAACTCCCTTGAGTATTTCTCCTTTCACATACAGGGAATTATATCTGTAGTATAATCTCTGGAGGTATAATTGCCAGGAAAAGATTATTTGCACTTGAATTTGGGTTGACATTGCCACATTGCCCTTCTGAAGGGTGACATATGATTTTTAAATGCACTTTCCCAGCTGTACAGGCTTGTATTTCACTGATCTTGGACTTACATCCCCAAATTTAACACCAGGAGCCTGATTTAAAGCAAAGCATACATATAACATCTACATGTTTACATAATAAATCTGAGACCTAACAACTAATACAGAGACAATAACCTACTGACCTACACACTAGTATACACTATAGTATAGGAGGGAAATCACAACAAAAAGAAGGAAGAATCATTCATGTCTTTTTGTCTTAAGGAATTATTTCCTCAACATCATGGTGAATATTACTAGTATATTAGGTAAACTGAACCAGAGATTATATCAAGTGTAAAGAAGATAAAATTCACAAGATGGTGAAAACACACAGACTGTCGATGAGTGCATAGTACAACACAAAAAAGAAAACATTTGGAGTCATCTCATGCCAAATGGTGGTTCTTGGCCCATGTGAGGAATATTAAGTTTCTTTCAAATTATTTTTGCTAGATTTTGGGAAAATGATACCAATTTTCTATTGCTGTGAAATAATTTTCTCAAAACTTAGCGTCTTCAAACAGTACCATTTATTATTTCAGTTTCCATGGGTCAGAGCTCTGGCACAGTTGAGCTGTATCCTCTTCTTAGGGTTCCACAAGGCTGAAATCAAGGTGTTGGTTGTATCATGTTTTCATCTCAAAACTCAACCAAGGAGGATGCCTCAGTTTATTGCCAGTATTTATTTTAGTATGGTTATAAAATTTATGGCAGCTTGCTTCTTCAAAGCCAACAAGGGAGAGAGTATGCTACTTTAATTCTCTCAGCTCAAATTCACCATTAGAGGAAACACTTGATTGGGTCAGACTGACCTGGAATAATCTCTGTTTTGATTAACTCAAGGTCAATTGTTAATGAACTCTATAGTATCTGCAAACTCCCTTCACCTTTGCCGTATAATGTTATATAGTCACAGGAGTTATAAAGGTGGTAGACTTTTGTCTTTTGCCATATCTGGTTGGTTTGAAACAGGTCACAGCTGTTGCCTACTCTCAAGAAGAAAAGATCACACAAAGTCATGAATACCAGGGAGTATGAATCCTGGGAGAAACAGATACTTGTTGTGATAGTTAAGCTTAATTGTGAGCTTCATTGGCTTTGGAGCCGCCTAGGGTATTGATAAAGCATGCTCCAGAGTCTATCCGGGTGGGTCAGGGAAGCATGACTTTGAGGTCTATATCTAGTCCTTGGCTCCTTCCTCTCTTTACTGTTCCTCTTTTCTGCTTCCTGGCCACCATGAAGTGAGCAGGAATGTTGCTCTTGCACCATTATCTTTCTGCTCTAGAGCCAGCTAATCATGGACTGACTCCTTTGAGATCACAAGCCTTATAAACTTCTTTGCTTCTAAATTGTAAATGTCAGACATTTTGTCCAGCAAGTGGAAAACAACTGCTTCTCCTGAAATTTCTTGAGTTGGATTATCATGAGCATTGGGGAAGCATATCGCCTGAGTCTGGGAAGATAGGCCTTTTATCATTTGGATTTGACGGAATAGCCAACAGCCACAGGACCTAAGGAGAATATAACAGTAAACATTTCTTGCTCATGTACCTGGAGTCAGCTGGTGGTCAACTGGAAGGTTCTACTGATCCATGCTTTTTCTCATGGCAGGCTGCTAACTGGGCCAGCCCATGGGCATGCTGCCTATGCCTCTCATTTTCATCTGTCCTCCTAATGATTGCAGAGGTGTGGGGATAAGGGCAGAACCCACTGCACATGTGTGCCTTCAGCCCCTGCCTCATGAGTGAGTTGAGGGTGAGAATGAGAGGGCCTCCAAAGTTACACAGCAAGCAGCACCAGTATAGTGAGCAGTGAGGAACTGGGGCCAGAAGGCAATCCACAGGAGAACCCTACTCGTGTCAGTACTTCACTTCATTCCCCAAATGAAATTAAGTTAGGGGTTTGCTGTTGCTAAACTAAGCCTGACTTGACTTCCACACTACTGGTGTGGAAAATAATACCAATCCACGATGCAGAAATACAATGGATGACTCCAAAAGGCCATGCCTAAAAAATTTCCACAAGAACAAAACTACTGAGCATACAGAACTTCATGCTGGGTAATTCCAGAAAACATATTTTGCTCCTGGAAAGCAGTAACCACAAGAAAATAAATGCAAATAGATTAACCTGCCTTATTTAATGCATAGATGCCATAATGGCCCATTTTTCAAAATGGCTGAAAACCCATGAAGCTGTTCGTATCTATCCAACAAAGACAATCTCATAGGGTTGTTCATCTCTTTATGCCCTTTAAACCAGGATGGTGAAGTCCTGATGCCTATAGGATCTGTTTGCACCAAGAAGGAAGTAAATTTTCATAAAATGTTAACTGAAATGCAAACATTTTCACATTGTTTCCACTGATATCTACTGAGGGAAACCTATATTTGAATCTCAACTGTGAACCTTACTAGCTCGTAGTCTTTAGCAAATTAATCTCTTCCCAATCTGTTGGTCATCCATCTATAAAAAGGGTCAATGAATGTTTTAGCTTCATATGGCTGAGATAGAAAGTAAAGGCTAGCTTTGTGTTTTCCACAGTGGCAGCATATATTCACAGTTATTATCCCTACAAAAATATACACTGCACTAACCTATCCTTTCATTTTAAAAGAAAGGCCAATATTTTATGTCATGTGATAAGGGTCAGTTGTGTAATTTGCCAAGATTATGTAGTTGATAGCTTTTCATAAAGTCTACGTGTCAAAGGCCTTCCTTGAGTGTTGCTTGTCCATCTATTTTATCATTCGGAGGAGTATCCTTTGCAGACACTGTATTGAATATCAATCTAACAATAAAGCTCTACTGAAAATGGGGAGCTATGTTCAAAATCTGCTGTGGCTCTTTATACCACAAGGAGATTTGTTTTATTGTCTCTAGGTCATGGTTCCTTCACTTGAATCGTAATTAATGGCCTTCATCTGACATTATTGAAGAGAATTAGATAATATCAGTGAAGCTTTTTAACCCTATGAAGGCTCTCACTGACAAAATACGCACATCTAAATGCAAAATTAATGACATTAGTTTTTTATTTTTCATTTTCATTGGTAGAGTTACTACTACAGATGTTAATATCAGGGTTTATTAATACCTACATATATATATAATTTTACAATATTTTCCACGTTTTTTACAAAATTACTTTTAATACCTTATTTAAAATATTACATTGGAGCCTTTTCCCAGTGGGCTACTTTTATTATTAGAACAAAACAAAAGCCACATTTCTTCAAGCCCACACAGCAAAGTAGTTGTATGTATTTATTTTAGTCATTCTGAACACATTCATGGAAGTTATTAAACATATACTATTTTTGTAGAGAAGTCAGAAAAGGATGTTACTTCTGTCTGATCTGTTCAAAGAGACAAAAGATGCTAGAATCCAGTGTATAGCCTCTCCAAAGAGTGTCCACATTGCATAATGTTTTGTTGTAAAGTGAGAGTTGCCACACAAGGCTCAGAAATCCCAAATGTAATTAAAATCTGATGATGAGCTTCATTATGCAGGGAAGTGCTTCTGACCCATTGTGAGTTTAAAAAATGTACAAAATCAAAAATCTCAATTAGGCTTCATTATGGGCTAACAAGCTCCCAGATTCCATTGTTGCTTTAATACTTCAAGCTGAGTTGGAGGAGGTGAGCATTGGAATACCCTCAAAGATGACTTAAAATGAGTTTGGAACCAAGTGAAATGTTAGTCAGGATGGTTGTGGGATGTTTCATAAAAAAATGCATAAAATCCGGTCACCCATCCTAACTCAGTGGGGTGTCAAGGCAGAGAATTCTTGCAGAAGCAAACTCGGCATTCGGCGCCATATGCAAGAAGTTAGGTGGTACTGACTTAAGACCAACACTAGCAACACAATAATTGTGCCCTCCAAGTCACCCCACTTAACTCCATCCCCCAAAAGAAAATTGCCAGTGTTATTTTCTGTATTATTATCTTGGCCGTAATAACAATAGAAAGGTAAGCCGAAATTGTCGTTATTGTCAGTATTCTTGAAAGTAGATCGCCCCAGTGTAAAGCTAGCCAATAAAATTTCACTACTCCATAAACATTTTCCTCTTGTAATATTCAAGGAAAAAATAGTGACCTCTTCAAAATAATCAGGATAGCACTTGTTTGTTTGTTTGTTTGGAAAAGGTTTCTGAGACATTAAATCCTTGTGAAGTTAAGATTTTGGCTTTGTAGGCCAACTTACAGTGTGCAACAATTTCAGGCATCTGCTGTACGATGTTGCTGAAAGCATTCCCCCACCACATTAAACCCAGCTTTTGAGTTGTACAGTGATTTAAAATTTATTGAAACATTTTTAGATTTGCTTTCTTTGACCACAATTGTCATTTTATTGTAACATATGCAATTAAACAGGAACAGTGCAAAAGTAGTGAAATGGATAGGATTCTCATTTGAATCTCCTGAATGCTGTTATTGTTTTCATTCATGCCTGACTGCTCTTGACAAAGATCTAAGACCATGAGTGGATTAGCCTAGGCACTATAAAAGCTAAATTTTTATTACTATTGTAATAATAGTATTAAATACCTAATGTGAGTTACAGGCCTTTTGGGACCCAAGGCTCAGTGTTCAACATGACCCATATTTGGTTGTATCAAAATTTAATATTTGGCTATCACACTATCCAGAAGTACAGAGTTTATTACAACTACATTCAAGAAAAAGGTAAAGCAAGAAAGGATCAACAGGGATGAGTAGTAGGGAGATTCCCATGTTACTATACTATCTGTGAATGTTTCTGGGATCTTACATAAATGAGATATAGTAGACCATAGGGCTAAGAGTTAGGGGAAACTGAGGAAAGAACACTGAATGTTGCTCCTGCTTGCTTTAATAATACTCCAAACACACACACACACATACACACACACACATGTGAGCACGTGTGCACACACACACATACACTCTCTTCTGCGAGTTTCAAATTATTCCCTTGCTTTATGATTGATTTTTTAAATCTGGCAGTCCTTTGGTGAAAGTGTTCACAGGTGGAAATGAGAAAAAGTGGCATATATAAAAATTCCCTGAAAATGTAGTGTATTCAATATATAAATCATATAAGTTGAATTTTGACAGGTGACAAAATACCATAAAAGTTCTCCTCATCTATAAGAATACCAGGAATATTTAGTGTGATTCAAAGACAGACTTTAGGAAGCTTGTGACTACCTTGCACTGCTATGAAAATATTTGTGGTTCAGTGTGCATTTGTGCATTTGTGAGTTTCTTTTTACAGAAAGGTTTTTATTAGATTCTCAAAGGGGTGAGACCAAAAAAAAGGATTAAGGACTGCTTCTTGAGTGTCCGGTAAGGTATAAATTGCATCAAGTTCAAAGGAACTAACCCTTTGACTTGCAAATCAACCAAAAAGGAAGAAGAGGGCAGGTTAATTTGGAGCCCCTCAGGAAGTGAGGGGTCCAGCTCTCTCTCAGGGAATGGTAAAGGAAATTCAACAAAGAAAGGAAACTTCACGACAGCTCAGTCACCAGGAGGCAGGAAATAAAAAAGTTGTATGGAGTGGAGATTGATGAGTCGAGAGAAAAGAGGGAGAGTTGGGTGTGATACCAAAAAGATGTTTCCAGCATCAGCCAGGTGCAAAGCAAAATGGGCTTCCTTTTTCCTATATGTTCTTCCAAGCATCATAAATCCTCAGTCTGCTGTTCAGCCACATCCTCCAGAACACAACAAGAGCAGCACCTTTACTCCACTCTGGAGCCATCCCAGGGATGCAGACGATCCCAAATGCCATGCAGGTGCTTTCCCAAAATCTACTCTGGGCCTTGAGCTGCCTATAGGTGCTGCTTCTCTAGGGTTCTTTCATGAATGTCTCCTGAAGCTATACTAACATAGGATCACAAATTACCCCGATGATCATTTTCTTAGCCCCCCCCCCACCATTCGAGGTTGGTTGGGGTTGGATGATCTCTGCTAGGCTTGCTCCAGCCTTGGCATAGTGTCTCCTCTATTAGAATATGCAAACTACCCCAGAAATGGCGTCCCCATAGCAATGGTAGAGGTACAAGGAGTCAGTACAAGCCCGCAAGACCCTGTAATGCTTGATATTACAACTGGAACATTTTCGTTTTGGCCTAATCATATTGGCCAAAGCAAGGCATGTGACCAAACCCAAAGTCATGTGACAAGGAAATATATCGCACTCCCCTAGAGCATGTAACCACAGTCCTTTGGCCTAAATAAAGGACTGAGTGAAGAATTAGGGGCAAAAAATGCAATCTACCTTATCTCTGTTAGTGAAGTTGGCTTCCAGCATATGACTCAGGTGTCCAAACCAGCTGTGAGTCTCAGAATTGATGCAATCTAAAATTTAAATGATTGGTCTTATGAGAATGGGGGTGAAGGTAGAGTGGGAGGAAGCAGTGGTTGCTTTCATTTTATCTTGCAACACCTAATAATGTATCACACATGTGTGCAGTGCTTAAGATCCCAGACAGAACCACCTTCATTGCTTCTATTCACATGGACCAGATTGTGCAATATAATAATTTTAAGTGACTTTCCATCTCAAGCACACAATAGGAAAATATGATACAGATCATTCTCCAACTGTAGATAAGACACTGAGCTTGCTAACTCTTAACAGTTCAAATAACCTAAAATTATGCAAACATTTCCCATGCTTGCACTTGTCTGGTTGCCTTTGCAGGTCTATGTAACTCGGCTGACAGCTGGATGATCGTGCCCAATATTAAGCAGAATCACTACACGGTGCATGGTCTGCAGAGCGGCACCAAGTACATTTTCATGGTCAAGGCCATCAACCAGGCGGGCAGCCGCAGCAGCGAGCCTGGGAAGTTGAAGACAAACAGTAAGTGCCATGAACCCAGCAGAGTAAAGCAGAGCTGTCCTCTCACATTTGCTTGCCTTTCAGCTGACTCCACCCCACTCCCTTTTTTTTTTTTTATCTTTTCTGTCTTGGGCAATGTCGGCAGCCTCAAAAGAACAAGGGAAGAGCCAGTGTGGAGTAGTGGGATTCTTGTCAGCTACCTCTAGGTTCTACTCTGCCTTCAAGACCATGAGACAATTAATCTCCCTGCACTTCAGTCTTCTCATTTTGAAAGTAAATGATCGTGGGGGAGCTCTTTGAGAAACAGAATATGTCTGTATAAAACCAGACATGGAGTAGGGACCCTGTGAATTGGGGATAGTATTCTTTTTTTCTGTAGTATAAACTCTTTCCTCAGAAAGTTTTTATTTGACCCCATGTAGCTGTCTGGCTCAGGGCCTGTTCTGCCCTTTATTCCCCTACTCCTACCCAGGAAACGCTTAGCCATGTCTAGAGACATTCCGGCTTGTCACAACTCAAGAGAGTGCTATTGGCATCTAGTAGGTCAGAAATGATGGGAGGCATTCCATAATACACAGAACAGCCCCCATTGCAAAAAATGATGACTTATACGTGTGTCTCATAGTACTGTCATCTCCCTGGTACTGTCTCTGCCTACATATGTTTTGCTTTATCCTCTCTTCTTTCTTTACAACTTTTTAATATTATGGCATGCAATACAGTATTTCTTTGCATACGACCTCCCAGGAAAAAGCAAATCAGAGTGTGGTGCCATGTTGTAGAGTTACCAGCCCGTGAACAGGAACAATGAAGTGCTTTTCAAGAGAAATCCTCAAGCATATAGTTGATTGCCCAGTGTATTGGAGAACATGTGCTGAGTATTAGAGTGACAACATAGGGACATAATGAAAGCACTGCCTTCAAGCCAGGCGTAGTGGTACGTGCCTTTAATCCCAGCACTCAGGAGACTGAGGCAGGAGGATCGCTGTGAGTTCGAGACCAGCCTGGGCTACATAGTAAGATCCAGATCAGTCGCAACTACATAGTGAGACCCTGTCTCAAAAAAAACAAACAACAACAACAACAAAAAAGAAAGCACTGCCTTCAGCATGGAAAGACTGAAGCTCAACCACTTGGTACACATGTGGCTGTGAGACTAGTTTTTTCATATTTTTAAATAAACTTTTTATTTGGGAATAACTACAGATTCACAGAAAATCTGTAGACATTACAGAGAGTTCTATATACCCAGTATCTCTAATGTTAATGTTATTCTATATACTTGTTACTTTTGCCACAACTATCTGTAAGAAATTAACATTGGTACATTACTCTCACCTAAACTCTAGACTTCGTTTGAATTTTACCAATGTTGTCACTGAGGTTCTTTTCCTGTTTCAGGATCTAGTCTAGGCTCTCACAGTGCATTTAATGTTCCTTAATTTTTAAAAATAGAAACGTCTTTCATTTATAAGCTCAATGATAATTCCTAGTAAATAAGGAAATATAACATGGTACATGGCACAGTAGCCATGCACACCAGATTAGCAGTTTTTTATTTACATTGAAGCATGTACTAGGTCCTTCAAAAATATATTGGAGCACCTAGTGTAGTTGGGATGTTGTGCACAATGTTGAGGATACTATAAAGACCTTCAGTTTCTTAGCATGTGCTTTCCTCAGGGGTGCATAGAAGATTGGGGAATATAGCATGTTAATCTTTAGTCACCATTCAGTTTGTGATGTCTGAGGTTGGAGTAACTTACGAGGGGTGCCCCTGCTCCACTCATCCATGGGGGCTTTTCAAGGTTGGGTAGGATTAAGAGATGTGAAGGGGAGGCAGTGTTCCATGCAGAGGGAACAGCCTGTGCAAAGGCCCAGAGACAAGGGGATGATGTTGGTGGAGCAGAAAATTGATAAATACACTGAAAGAGGCTTCAGTTGGGAAGATTAATGAGCTAGACAGCTGGACAGAAGAAGCAGATTGTGAAACCCTTATGGGCCATGCAAGGGAGTTTCTTGGAGGAACAATGGCTGGAGGGAAACAGGGTGAAGAGTTTAGAGTCAGGATGAGGATTCCCATCAAATGACACTCTTGCACTATGATGTGGTGAGTGGATTACGAAGAGGGAGACTGAGAGGTTTGCAAAGTGCACGGAGATTATGGCAAGAATTGTCCAAGCAGGGCACAGTGACCAGAAGAGGGTCATGCCCTATGCACATTTTCTAATGAATTAAATTCTTCAATAAAGGAACTTTATTTTCTCCTTCAATGCATTGATCCTTACTGAAGCAAAAGCCTAGGAATGGGGAAGAGAGGGTAGTGGTTTATTTGGGAAATAGGTCTGGGGCATAGACAGAATTTTGCTCCTTGAGAATACAGGTTTGGAACAGCGAGGCTGGTGAGAACCTCCTCGCAGTGTGAATAGCGGGGAGTGTGAGGTGAGGAAAGCAGCACACTTCAGGCATTTCTCACTTTTGCAAGCCTACTCTTTGTGGTGCTATGCCATCCTGCTCCTCCTTACTGGCTAGAGGCCAAGCAGCACTCAACCTTCATAAATGACTAGTGCCATAATGGAATTTCTTCTTGTTTTGCTTACTCGTGTCCAGTGAACATTTATGTTTCATCTTAAGAAATGCTATTTTGTACTATTCTTGTCTTAGCCCATAGCTCATCTCTAATAGTTGTTGGCATAATCATCCCTGAGAGTGGTTATTTGCTTATTTATGAGAGAGCCCCATATTTATTTATTTTTATTTTTTTCCCTCATTGAGTTTATTGGTACATTTTAGGTGTACAGTACAGTTACATTCATCATTGGGATCTTGTACCTTTACATGACAGGTCTTGGTTCTCATTTTTCCCCCTCGTCCCTGCCCTCCCTTCACCCCTCCTCCCCTTCCCCTTTACAAACACTTCATTTCCATTTTTTCATTTTCTCATATTTTTTTCTTTTCCCTTATTAGCTTTCCCCTACCCTTCCCACTTTCCCTACACCTTTATCCCCTTTCTTCCTATTTCACATTGTCCATTATATCATTACGGTCTTGTATACTCTTATAGTTTATTCACATCAAGAAACGATTCGATATTTACACATGTGTGACTTATTTATTTCACTTAGGAGTATATCCTCAATATGTATCCATTTCCTATGAAGGAATCTATGTTCTCATTCTTAATGGCTGAGTAATATTCCATTTTATAGAAAAACCACACCTTGTTTATCCAGTTTCCAACTGATGGGCAAATAGGCTGTTTCCAAGTTTTAGCTATTACAAACTGTGCAGCTATAAACATAGGTGCACATATATCACTGTGATATGATTCTTTTAATTCTTTTTGGAAGATACCCAGCAGAGGGATGGCTGGGTCAAATGGAACCTCTAGTCCCAGCTCTTTGAGGTATCTCCATATTGATTTCCATAGTGGTCGCACCAGTCTGCACTCCCACCAACAATGGAGAAGGGTTCCTTTCTCCTCACAACCCCGCCAATATTTGTTACTCTTTGATTTCTTGATAGCAGCCATTCTTGGTGGGGTGAGGTGGAATCTCAGTGTTTTTTTCATCTGCATCTCTCGAATGACCAGTGACGTGGAATATTTTTTCATGTCTTTACTTGCTGCTTTTATTTCTTTGTCTGAGAAATGTCTGTTCATTTCAGATGCCCATTTTTGAATTGGGTCTTTATATTTGGGGGGGCTGATAGTTTTGAGTTCTTTATATATTCTAGATAATAGTCCTTTGTCTGAGGAGCAGCTGGTAAAATTTTTTTCCCACATTGTAGGTTGTCTCTTAGTTCTGTTGATGGTTTCTTTTGCAGTGCAGAAGCTTTTTAATAAGATAAGACCCCAGTTGTTGATTCTTTCTTCTAGTTCCCATGCTACTGAGGATCTGTTCATAAAATCTTTTCCTATGCCAATGTCTTCAAGGGTTCTGCCTAACTCATCTTCCAACAAGTTTAGTGTTTCTATTTTAATATTTCAATCTTTAATCCACTTGGATTTTAATTTAGTGCATGGTGAAAGATAAGGAACCAGCTTTTATTTTTGTCAGGTTGAGATCCAGTTTTTCCAACACCATTTATTAAAGAGGCTATCTTTCCTCCAGTGAGGATGGTCAGCTCCTTTGTCAAAGATGAGGTAGCTGAGTACATCTGGATTTGTTTTCGTGTCTTCCAATCTGTTCCACTGATCCTCAGGTGTGTTTCTTTGCCGGTACCATGCTGTTTTTATCAGAGTGGCTTTGTAGTATAGTTTCAAATTGGGAATTGTTATAGGATGGCTTTTGCTATTCTAGGTCACTTATGGTTCTAAATGAATTTTTGGATTCTTTTTTCTGATTCTGTGAAATATAGTGTTGGAATTCCAATTGGCATTGCATTGAATCTATATAGAAGTTTTGGTAGTATGGTCATTTTCACTATGTTGATTCTTCCTATCCAGGAGCAGGGGATGTCTTTCCATTTTTTTTATATCCTCTTCTATCTCTTTTTTTCAGAGTGCTGTAGTTTTCAGTGTAGAGGTCTTTTGCTTCTTTTGTTAGATTGATTCCTAGATACTTCATTTTTTTGGATGCTATTGTGAAGGGAATTGTTTCCCTAATTTCTCTCTCAGTGAGTCTGTTATTTGTGTACAAGAAGGCTATTGATTTTTGGTTGTTGATCTTGTATCTGGCTACTCTGCTAAAAGTGTCAATTAAGTCTAGAAGTCTTTTGGTGGAGTTTTTTGGGTTTTCAATGTAGAGTATCATATTGTCAGCAAATAATGACAGTTTAACTTTTTCCTTTATTATCTTTATTGCTTTAATTTCTTTCTCTTGTCTAATTGCTGTGGCTAATATTTCCAGAACTATATTGAAGAAGAGTGGTGGTAGTGGGCATCCTTGTCTTGTTCCTGATTTTAACATGAAGGTTTTCAGGTTTAGGCCATTTAATATGATGTTGGCTGTTGGTTTTTCATAGATAGCCTTCTATTAAGTTGAGATATAGACCATCTATTCCAATTTTTTGCAGGGTTTTTATCATGAATGAATGTTGAATTTTGTCAAATGCTTTTTCTGAATCTATCGAGAGGATCATATGGTTTTTGTCCTTGACTCTGTTAATATAGTGTATTACATTTATTGACTTATGCATGTTGAACTATCCTTGCATCCTTGGAATAAATCTGACTTGGTTAGGATGTATGATCTTCTTGATGATCCTTTGTATTCTGTTTGCTAGTATCTTATTAAGGATTTTTGCATCTATATCGATTAAGGAGATTGGCCTATAGTTCTCTTTTTCTAGTTGCATCTTTCCCTGGTTTGGGGATCAAAGTGATACTTGCTTCCAGGAATGAATTTGGAAGTATTGCTTCCCTTTCAATTTCATTGAAAAGTTTGAGGAGTAAAGGCAACAGTTCTTCTCTAAATGTCTTGTAAAATTCAGCAGTGAATCCATCAGGACCTGAGCTTTTCTTTGTTGGTAAATTTTTAATTACATTTTCAATTTCACTGATTGTAATTGGGATGTTTTAAATGTTTTTATCTTCTTTGTTCAAATTTGGTAATTCATAAGTATCTAAAAATCTGCCCATTTCTTCTGTGTTTTCCATTTTATTAGAGTACAGGTTTTCAAAGTAGATATTGACTATCCTCTGGATTTCTGTTGGATCTGTTCTGACTTTACCTTTTTCATTCCTGATTGCATACATCTGAGCCTTTTCTTTCCTTTTTTGGATAAGGTTAGCTAAGGGTTTATCGATTTTATTTATTCTTTCAAAAAACCAACTCTTTGATTTATTTTTTGACAATTTTCTTAGTTTCCATTGTATTGATTTCTGCTCAAATATTTATAATTTCCTCTCCTGTTTGAGCTTTGGGTTTTTCTTGCTCTTGTTTTTCTAGTAGTCTAAGATTCATCATTAGGTTGTTTATTTGAGCTTGCTCTGTTTTCCTACTGTGGGCATTCAGTGCTATGAATTTTCCACAACGAACTGCTTTCATTGTGTCCTATAGATTCCTGTATGTTGTATTGGCATTTTCATGTATTTGTAAAAACTGTCTAATTTCTTCTTTAATTTCCTCTGTCATCCATTGATTGTTCAGGAGAGTGTTGTTCAATTTCCATGTGTTTGTGAGTTTCCTACGGTTTCTTATGCTATTGATCTCCAGCTTGATTGCACTAGGATCTAATAATATACAGGTGATAAAGTGCCCCATATTTAAACTACAGGTCTTATGGATTCAATGTATGCTCCCTGCGTAGCACTTGAGGATTTATCAGCTTTTCCTTTTAAGGTGATGATAGAGATAGATAAATAGATCTATATTGATATATATAGTGATATATAACTAGATGGACATATAGTTATATAGATATCAACAGTCAGTAAACCATAGTTTAAGGATCAAATCCAACTGCCCGTATTTGTAAATACAGTAAAGTTTTATTGACATGCAGCTATTCTCATCCATTTATCTGTCTCTGTGGCTTCTTCCTTGCTACAGTGACAGAGTTGAGTAGTAATCACAAAAGATACCCCATGGGCTGCATAGCTGAAAATATTTACTATCTGACCCTTTGCACCTGATCTAAAAGAAAGAATTTTAAAGGTTCTGGTGTTACATTTTATCCAAGCAGCAACTGGAAATCCTATGGCTTACCCACATGTGACAAAAAGCCCAGTGTCCCCTGATCAATGGGTCTGTTTTTCCACCAGCATCACCTATTGCCTCAGTGAAATTTGACGGACTTTTGCCTGTGATTATCTGGGAGCTGTGTACAGGGCAGGGGCTGCCAATTACAATACCATGTATTTTGGTAGGAGGCACCATGATATGCAAGTCAGGTTGTAACTCATTTCCTGCCTTAGTTGCTTGTGCCCTATGTGGTATTGAAAGACTGGTAGTAATCCAGCCCAATATTGATTTGTCAAAGACATAACAGCTTCAGCAAATTGTCTATGTATGATTCTACCAAGATTTTTTAATGGTTGAATATTCAAAATACAAATGTGAAGAATGAAATAGAGAGGGTCTCATTTATTATGAATAAACAAAACCTAGACATCACTATCATATTTTTTCTGATTATGTGGGACGAAAATTTTAGTTCTTTAGTGATTCTAAACTCCTAAGAGTGCCTTGATTTTTAACAGTCTCCGAATGATGTAAATAAACCTTTATAATATTCTACCTGGTAAGACCTGTAATTTTGATTTGTCTGGTTTCTAGTCTGAAGCCTACTGAGTATAAATATACTTTATTTATTATTAAACATGGCAGTGGTAGAAAATAAAGTCTTCATTTTCTCCTCCTTTTCAGGACTCTATCCCGGCAGTATGTACCTGTACTGCTTGTTTGCATCTGGAAGGCTTAAGAAAGATACCTTAGCCCCTCATGACTTCTGGTTGATCTTTGCCCATGCTATTGTTAAATAGTTAGCATAATACCTCTGGCTCCCTTAGAACTAATGCTGAAACTCACAAAGACATCTGTGTTCTTCTTCATTCTTACTGTGCTTAGCATTATACTTTACACAGAGGTGCTGCTCCCTCACTATATTTTGAATATAATGAAGAGTAAATGCAAATGCCCTTGAAAGTTGTTGATAAAACTTAGATCACTGTTCAAATATGAGATACTGCTTTGTGATAGGAAGCATGCCTCAAGGAGGGATGGTCTGCTCCGGTCTTCTAAATCTGATGATGAAAATATGCTATTGGTCATGTTCAACTAAACAGTGCTTTTCTACCTCCTCTTTTTGTTTTGTGAACTTGTTTCCAGGCCAGCCATTTAAACTGGATCCCAAATCTGCTCATCGAAAACTGAAGGTGTCCCACGATAACTTGACAGTAGAACGTGATGAGTCGTCATCCAAAAAGAGCCATACGCCTGAACGCTTCACTAGCCAAGGGAGCTATGGAGTGGCTGGAAACGTGTTCATTGACAGTGGCCGGCATTACTGGGAAGTGGTCATAAGCGGAAGCACATGGTAGGCAACTTATATCTATTGTCTTCCAGTTGTAAAAAGGAACATCTCATTGTATACTTTGTCAGAGTGTCGACACATACCAGCATTCATCCTGAAGAATCAAATGTAGATAGGTTGTATTAGTCAGCTATTGCTTCAATAATTCTATATAACAAATATGCCAAAACACGGTGACTTCAAACAACCCCCATTTATTAGAACTAACTACCACCCACATCTGCAGTTTAGCTGATCAAGGCTAATCAAAACTGGACTTTGCTTTCCACTGTAGTTTGGGTCTAGGTCTTGCCTGTGTCTCTTCCTCTTCCTTGGATGCCTGGGCTACCCTGCCCATGTTCTTCTCAATAAACCCATCAGGGCAAACATGGTTCAAGCCTCTGCTTGCACCATGTCTACTAAATTCCTATTGGCCAAAGCAATATGTAGCATAGAATTCTGGTTCCTAAAAAAGTTATAGCTTGCAAATACTCATCTCCCATGCTTTAAAGCACAGGTCAGCCCACTGCAGCCCATGGGCAAGCTTGGCCCAAGGCCTGTTTTTGTAAATAAGGCATTGTGGGTCTCAGTCATGCCCATTCCTTTTGTTTATGGCTGCCTTTTGGATCCAGTGACACAGGTGACTAATTAAGACAGAAGCATGTGGTCTGCAGAGCTGAAAATGTTTAACTTCCTGGCCCTTTAGAAAAAAGGTTTGTCTAATTTCTACTTTAAAACACTAATCCTCACCATTTTACAAAAACTATTTTCTGTTGCTCTGTATGTTTTGTGATTCAAGACTGGGTCAATTAGTGCCAAAAGCTAAAGGCTGAGTGAGTGGGGGGTGAAGTAATCATCATAGATGGAAAATAATTTCAAGAGGTCTATTAGAGCCAGCCCAATGACTTTTGCCCATTGAGTTCCCCAAGACTAAGGGATAAGGGCGGGATGCAGTCTGCATTGGAATTTGTTAACGCTGCAAAATTGACCTTCCCTAATCCCCAGTTACAAATGGCATCCCTCCCATTAGCCATCCGTCTCACAAATGCCTACTGAAAAAAGGGTTCTGTTCTTTCTAAACAAACCTTCATGTGGCATAAATACATACCAGGCAAAGCATTGGTCTAAGCATTTTACAGATGTTAATTTATTTATTCATCATAATAGCCCTACAAGGGTACATGCTGATAGTATCCTTTTCTGCAGATGAGGGGACTGAGACACATCCCCAAGATTGTAAAATGAGTGTGGCTGTGTGCCGATAGAACTTCTTTATAAAAGTAGCCAGAAGGCCAGAGTTGACCCCAACTTGTAGTTTGCTGATACCTGCCTCTGACCATCATGCTATGCTGCTATTCACAAAAGAGTGATTAATTTTTGAAATATTATAATTACTCTTTGCAGCTTATAGTAGTGTATTTAATAAATGATACTGCAACCCTTGCTTTAAAAATAAAACCAACATACAAAACTGCATAATCTGAACAAACACCTGCAAAAGAAGGTGTTTCTTTTGATAAAACTATGATAAAAATCTTATTTTAAAAAGACCTTTCCATTCAAATCTATGCAAATAATGCAATGTATAAAAGTCTTCGGTAGTGTAGGTACAAATTAACCTAAATCTAAAATGTGAGATTGTGAGCTTGGGTGGTCTATCTCTAGTAATAATGGTGCCTATATTGGCTAAGCCAGTAGGTTTTCATATGTTACTTGCTTCATGATTCTCTTCACACAGGACATTTTCCTAACCCAACATCTTTCCAGATGATGGAAGACAAATCCTTTACCCTACTAGGCTGTGGGCTAGATTGACATTTGCAATTTTTAGCTTCTCTGGGGAAAAAAATAAAAGCACAAAGGAAAATACAACTGTGCAAAGAAGCAAACATTTCTAGTTAATTAATGTGCTGTATTAATCTGGAATGGAATCCAATGTCCTAGTGATTATAACCCCATTAATAATTACTTATGATAGGGCCAGGGATTTAGCTCAGTGGTTCCGCTGCCTGCTTCGCAAGCACAAGATCCTGAGTTTGATCTCCAGTACCAAAAAAATTATTATTTATGATAAATGATAGCTGATTCTTATGATCTCATTGCCATTGATGAATAGTGCAGAAAATTCCAACAGACCACTTAATTATGTAGACATAGATCACCATTACCTTTAAAACACCCTCCAGATGTCAAAATCAGCTCATGAGAGGAAAAGAAATCTTACAGTTAATTGCCACACTTTGGATCTTTACAAACCTGATTGTGTCAATTTCAGAACATCCTCATGTAGAAAATTGTTTTACATTTCCTGGACTTTATTAGCAATGAAAGGTACCCCCCCCATGATTAAATTCTGGTGACACCTTGACTTGCAACAGCTAATGAGACATATATTTTCTCATGAAATAGAGTCCTGATTTTAAATTAACATGTATATTATGATTGGGGCAATGGGGCATATTAACATTGCTCTGAGAAACAATTTTTATACTTTTTGAATTCTCCATGTCTCACTGCGTCACTTAATGGGACATTACATTCTGCCTGCACTTTTCAAGTGCAGTGGAAATATGTACATAGTTTTACAGATTAATGATAATATAATGGTGTTTTCCTTTGCTTAATGGACTATATACTAGGTTATTTTCTTACTCTCTAATGCTGTTAATGTGCTCTTGGTGTTTTAGGAAATGGTGTTAACCAAAGCAGTAATAATAGGTTCGGGCAATGATTGCTAGACCAGACATGGAGGGGCAGCACAAGATTTTTGGAGTTTGCTCCTACTTTAGATTTTCTCTCTGTTTACTCATTGCTAAATGAAGTCAACTATCTCTGGTACAGCAACCACGTAGAGTTCAGTTAAGATTGAAAAGGGAAATAATATTCAAGTTCTTTAATAAAAGATTGAAATAGTGCATAAATACAGATATAATTATTTTGTGATGAAAATGCAGGTCCCAAATTATCTGAAAAAAATGGAAATAAAGTCTGCTAAGGTATTAAGAACATCTTTGCCTTTGAGGAAGATGTTTGGATTAAAAAATGAAAACCTTTGCCAAGTGTATCAGTTAGGACTCAGCAGATAAGCAGAAGTCAATCAGTGTCTTCCATGGAGGAAGGGAGCCAGAAACTTTCAGGGCCCTTAGCAGAACCAAGGATGCAAGTCAGCAAGTCTGCTGCCGTAGCGCCTGGAATTGCAGTGACCTGGTGCTCACACCCAAAGCAGGTATAAACAGGAGATCATCCAAAGCTTCCACAACCAAACCTCGCTTCCCCAGTCTGCCGCTGGAAGGGTATTCTTCCTCCTCTTACAACTTCTGGATCTTGTGGAAAGCCACTGAAATAGCACAACCTGGCCCAGTCTCCTATAGGAAAGGGCATTCAGAGAGACACAACCCAGAATTCTCCCTGGGAGGAGAAGAATGACAAGAGGAACGAGAGGCTGTTGCATCGACAAGAGACTAACCGGCATGCAGGTTTGACAGACTATCCATTCTGTCTTCTCTAGGAACTCAGTAAAGGAATGTTGTATTCATTTTCATTTTAACATGCTACCCTTAAAGTGATTGTATTTTAAATCTAATATAATTTTTAAAAGAATGTCATTTTAACAAAGACCAATGAAGTTTTTTTCTCTGCACTGAGTAAGGTGCCATATGTCAATATCCAATTACACCAGTTTCTGCTATAAAATACTAAAAGTTGAACTGTGAGTCATTCACTCTTTATTAAAAGTGATGTTTTGCTTATTTTAATAACTGTGAAATGCTTTGAATATTACAGGAAGTGTCTCAGAGAGGTAAAATGAGATTAAGAACCTTAGGATATTGTAGAAAAAATTCTTAAGATTTTTATTTTTGAGCAGCAATAGAATATTTAGAATAACTGGATATGTGTCACTCTAAGATGTTTTAAAAATCTAAAAACGTAGTAGAAAATTTAATCCGAAATGTTTTTGGCAATGATGGATTGCACAATTTCTGGGAGAGAAGGCATTATAGAATGTCATTTAAGTCCGTGGCCTTTGGAGTAATCCTAGATTCAAATTCTGATTCTAGTACTAATTATGTATGTGTCCATCAGACAATAATAATAAAGTAATGTTTACTGAATATTACATATCAGGCCTTTTACTCAAGATTTAGAGTGCATTTTTTCTTTTAATGCATACAATAATCCCAGGAGAGGGAGACTGTCATTATTCCTGTGATAAAGATGAGAAATTGAGACAGAGTGATGACAAGGGATTTATGCAGCTAAATGAAAATCATTCTCCCTGCCTGCCTTTACAAGTGCATTGAAGTCCTGGAAAATGACAGATACAGTGTCAACCGAAAGATTTAAAGAAGATCAAAAGAACAAGTCTAGAGTTACACTGTCCGATATGGTAGCCATGAGCTACATGTACCTATTTAAACCATTTAATTATTTTAATCATTTAATTAAAATTAAATACAGATGCTCCTTCACTTTACTGTGAAGTTGCACCCTGAAAATGCCATGGGAAAACGAAAATACTGTGTTGCTGCCCAGCATAGTGAGAGCATACTGCATTTTGCTAGTCTAGGAAAAGATCAAAATTCAGACCTTGAAGGATAATTTCTACTAAATATATGTCACTTTTGCACCATTATAAAGTCAAAGACTCTGCGAGTCAACCATCCTATGTTGGGGACTATCTATAAATTTAAAGTTGAGTTTCTCAGTCTTAGCAGCCACAGTTCCATGTGGCTCATGGCTACTGCACTGAACAGAGTAGGACACTTCATTCACTGCAGAAAATTCTATTGGTTGTCAGTGGTCCAGAGAATTGAATGTGCAGTAGTTTATGAGAGAGAAAATAAAATAGCAAAACACGAAGTTCAAATTTTCTTACGGTGTATGAGCTGAAAACAGGACCGTGGGTAAATACACTGGCTCCTATACACCCACTCTGTGTTTAGGAGAGCGGAAGATGAAGAACACAGGTGCTGGGTTTTTGCCAAGCTTCCACCTAAAGAGAACGAACAAGGACAACAGAAGATCACTTTTTTATGACCCCCAAGGACCACAGAATGGATTTACGCACATGTGCACTGTGCCTTATTGTTTTCGTTGTTGCTGTTCTGTCTCTCCAGGTATGCCATTGGCCTTGCCTACAAATCAGCCCCGAAGCACGAATGGATTGGGAAGAACTCTGCTTCCTGGGCCCTCTGCCGCTGCAACAATAACTGGGTGGTGAGACACAACAGCAAGGAAATCCCCATCGAGCCCGCCCCACATCTCCGCCGTGTGGGCCTCCTGCTGGACTATGACAACGGATCCATCGCTTTCTATGATGCTTTGAACTCCATCCACCTCTACACCTTCGATGTGGCATTTGCGCAGCCTGTGTGCCCCACCTTCACCGTGTGGAACAAGTGTTTGACGATTATAACTGGTCTTCCTATCCCAGACCATTTGGACTGCACAGAGCAGCTGCCCTGAGCATCTGGCCATCAGAGCTGCTTTCTGGGGGAATAATAGAGTTTGAGGCCACTATTTAGGGGGTAGAAAAAAACACAGGCTTCAAGAGTGTGATTAAATATCCTTAGAAAGTGACTAGAAATCAGCTAAGACAAGGCTCAAAATAGATTTCTTTTCTTTTACCGTGTTTTATATTAAGTGCAGGCTTTAATAATTTCTTTAATTTTTTTGTATTTACAGGAAAATCTATAGATTATTTATAAAAAGAATCATAATCGGGATTACAACTCTTACGAATTACTTGGTTTTGCACATGAAGAGGCTCGTGAGTTTACCAGCTCTTACAGGTTTTGTTTCATCACAAACATGGGCCTGCAAAAAGAGCAACCACCACCACCACCACCACCACACACACACACACACACACACACACACACACCTTTTGTAAATTTGTATGTTTAAACACCTCACGTAGTATTTTATACTGAGCCCATGGTAGGTCCTATCACTTCAACAGTGCATAACAGAATATGCAGCTGTTTTAAAGATAAAAATAATTTTGAACCTAGTAGGCAAGTAAACTGGCTTTCTTGCTCTGGTTTAACTTGAAGTGTTTTAGCTATAATGTAAAAAAAGTTTTAAAAGTCATATATTGGATCAACTAGAATGGAGAGTAAGTGAGAGAGAATGGAAGTAATTGACTTTGGACCTCAGAATTAGCCATGGCTCAATCTTTACCCTCTGATGGCTGATGGGATTATGTTGGAAAGAAAGGTTCCGAAACCTTTGCCCATGCTTCCCCAATTTTTTGCAGGGCTAAGGACTCTGAGCTACCATTATGAATGAGATCGCAATTGAAAATAGTCACTTTGAGTACTACAGATTAATAAAAAATTCAGGCTGATTTGTGTTTTATCAGAAGTAGGATTTTGTCTCATGGTATAAAACTACTTCATTCTTCCTCCTAATAGTTTCCTTAGAACTGTGAAATATCTTCACTACATTTAATAGTTGTCCTGTTTCCCCCTCCCCCAAATCAAGTTTTCTTTTGGGACTAAGGGAATGAACGTGTACTGTCACAAGTGACACCACCACTTTGGATTGATTTTGCTCTCTGGGACATCAGCACATGGCCCCAGTCACCACTACCACATCCAAATGTAAGTCACTGAGAAACATTTAATATTTATGAGTTAGTAACGACAAGGGATATTGCATAAAGTACTGTTCACTAGTATACATGCCTAAAAAGTTATTATAAATGTGTTTATTAAACACATCTTGAAAATTGTAGATGTCCCTCTATATTCTAGTATAGTTTACCATAGATTTGTAATATGAAAAAAAAAAATTCAAACCCACTATTTCCACACAGGAACCTGCTAATAGAACTTGCTAATCAAATAAATGTCAGATGAGATTCTTTGCATGCTGATCCAACATATTGTAATGGTCCCTAAACTAAGTCTTTCTCAAGTAGTCTGCGGACTTGGACTTGGGCATGGGTTCTATGTTGACCATGCATGTGACCTTTATAAATGGTTTCATGGCTAAAATATTTATCTGGGCTACTGGGTCAGCCATTGACTGAACAGATGGGTGGATGTAGACATTGTTTTAGCGATTTTTAAAGCCAGACCAACCAGTTGTTCCCCTGAAATAAGTAAATAGACACATGGTTTCAGCATCACATGGCCAAAAGTGATTTTGCCAATCTGGACTTCGAGGGAGACCAAGCCAGTTTCCTGTGTCTTTCTGTCTCTTCCTTAGCAAATGCTCTCCTTTTTCTTAATAGAATCTATATATTTACTATATTATTTATACCCAGATGAATATTTTGATAGCTACTTAAGACAATAACACATCTAAAAATTAACATCTCAATGGAGAAAAAAACTGATCATTCTCCGGCAACGTAATGCGATTTTTTTACATTATGAAAACCATGTGTGTTTGCCTTCCCTGAATAAACCGAAAGGGTTGCCTCAGTAATTTTTACATACATTTTGGGTAACTGGATAATGGATATTTTAATGCACTTTGTACACTTACAGGTTCTAAATAAAAGGGCCTAAAACTCAGTTTCTGAGTTTTTAAAATCATAGTCTCCAGGTACCAATAAATGCTACAGTTTGCCTTATGATGTTAACATAAATCATTTTACTAGAAGGACACTATTTCCATGAATATAATGTTTTTCAATGTCAAGATGTTACTACTCAAATTTTCACTGCAAGCCTTTTAGGATATGTTTGGCTATTTTTATAAGGACAAGACAGATTATGTTATAATTTTGTTGTGGAAGTCTCACTCTTGGCTAACTTAAAAACATGGATGTAGCAGTTACTATTTCCAGGTTGTCGGATTTACAGGAAAATATGTATATGGTGAAAGGCCACAGTGTTTAATAACTGTAATGATGTAGAAAAGATTCTCATGTGGATTTTTTGAAAGTCTAAAAAATATATACTGTAAACATTTGGCAGTATAATTATACATTCTCTTTAAATGGTTTAGAGTCACAATATTTTCTTTTTCAAGGTCTTCACAGGAAGCATTTGGATATAGGGACAAAAGAGATGGCAGTGCCAGATAAATCAGTAGGACAAAACTGATGAAATGCCAACCAAGGCTGCAAGGGCCGGCATCATGGGTGTGTGAATGGCACAAGTTGCCCAGAGCCCTGGCGCTCTGAAGGGCCCTAAGCTTGGTTTGATGCTCTCCTTTCACTGTCATGAAATTCTTAATAGTTTTCCAACAAGGGGCCTGCATTTTCACTTTGTACAGGGCCCTGCAAGTTTTGTAACCAGTCCTCATAATGGAACTCAGAAACATGGTACCTCTCTTCCTAGTGGATAGAAATACATAAATCTGAAATCAAAGTTGAAAGTTGCTGGCCACATCATTCAAGTAGGAATCTAAAAGGTGAATTAAGATGAGGGTGGGTCTAGCTAAACATTTTTCTTGCAGCTTTAAGAGAAAATGACTTCAATAACTGACTTCAAACACTGATAAAGGTCTCTGCTGGAGAAGAGGAAATGGCCTGAGTATACACAGGCTTTTTATTATGGTACTGATATGTTGACCTTGAAATTCTTGAGGAACTGAACCAGTGCCCTCCATTCAACGTGGAATTCCACCCCAGCTCCAGGCACATGTGTAGTGCCTGCAGAGACACGTGCCTGTATGCTCACATTCATGTGTATTTGGCATTGGGAAGTTGACACTTGATCTTCCTTGATAAAACATTGAAAAGCACACAAAGACAATGGTGACAGCAGGAGGAATTTCTTGAAAACAGTGCTTCTCATCCAGGACTTGATTTTGCCCCTGAGAAGACATCTGGTCATGTCTGGAATCAATTTTGGTTGTCAAAATCTGGGGAAACAGTGCTACTGGCATGTAGTGTACAGAGGTCTAGGATGGCATTAAACATCCTACAGTGCACAGTGTAGTTCCCCACACAAGAGTTATCTGGCCCAAATTTTAAGGTGTAAACCCATTCAGACACTCCCGTTTGTTGGGTTTTTGTAAATACAAAACTCATAAAATGCCTTTTACTCTTTCAGTAAGTGATTCAGTGCATGCTAAAGCAAAAACAAGAAGGAAAAAGCAGGAGTCATCAGTTCAAAACCTTCACTGTGGTGGCTCCTTCACTTTCAAGAATATTTACAAAATGTTTATGAAAATCAAAAATCTGTGGAGCAAGCCAAGCCTGTGCAAGTGGGAGTCACTGATAAGTATCTCGATCTGGATGAGTTTAGTTTGGAAATGAGAAGCTGGCTTTCTTCATGCCTCCTTGCACCTGGACAAATTGAACCCCTGATACTTGAGTCACACTGCCACACCCTCAGTCCAGACTATTCTCTTGATTGCTGTTGCTTCCTGGTTGAAAATAAACTCATTTTTGTGGCACCAAAACAGGTCTCTGCCTGTAGCTTTTTCATTGTGCGTTTTCATATTTATGATTTTTACAAGTATGTCTTCAAGTTCTGCTCATTTTCTGTACTATTTTATGACACAATTCATTTTCTATGGTATTTGAAGCTGTCTCATATCTACCGCCCTTCTCCCTTCACAATATAGTTATTCTGCAAGATTAAAAATATTTCAGATGGAATTTTAAAATACGACGATAGAAAATCAATTAAAGAGCGAAACCCTACAGCAAGGATCACTTGACGTCAATACTTCCAGGTGGGATGGAGTGACTATCAGTAGAGGAGTGGCGGTCTTTTCAGCATGCTCTGGGACAATTCCAGCAGCTGCTCCATAACTCCATGCCCAAGCCCATCCAAGAATCCACAGGACCTGACTCTTGCATCTTAGCAGTGTGAATCCTTTTGGTCTAGGACAGTGCTATGCATCAGGACTGCTGCCAGCCTGTTCAGAATGCCAGTTTTGCCTCCCTCCAGGCCTGCTGGTCAGAAGCTCTGTGGGTAGGACCAAGCAATCAAAGTGCTAACAAGCAACTGCAGGAGATTCTGATACTAGGGATAGTTTGTGAGGTGCTGCTTTGTAGAGCTTTTCCCAACCTCACCGCCCACATAAAAAGGCAATTACAGCTTGAAATATGTTTTCAAGGCAACATGTATTAGAGGCAATGTGATGTAATCCAGGAATCCTCCATCTGACTTTGCGTTAAATTTGCCTTTCTACGCCTATTGATTCCTGAATTCTATCCTGAAAGATCAGGAACAAGAAGGTTGGGAGTATGATCCAGCAACCTGTATTTTTTTTCTTTAAAACATAAATTGGTCTAAACAATGGCCAGGATTAACAGCCAAGGCTTGGCATTTTAAGGGGGCAGATAATTTAATTTGCATGCTCTACATTCTCTGTGGCAACTATTCCAGTGTGGATACAGAGGGAAAACAGCCATAGAAAAAGTGTAAATAGATGGCTGTGTTCCAATAAATTTTTATTTACAAGAACAGGCATTGGGATGGGCTTGGCTTCTGCGCTATATTTTATAGCTGGTAAGGTAGAAATTGAACTAGACTGGTGGTGTTCCTTAACTCCTTGTTCGCCATGATTTAGCTGTGTCCTTTCATGCCTCAGTGAGCTCTAAAAGTCCTTTGCAACATTGAGCTACATCAATTCTGTCAAATCATGAAACTTGTGGAGAGTTGGTTATGGAGTGCTTAAGACAGGACCACTCAATGGATATTAGAAGATTTGTTCATTCAACAGGCTAGGGTGGAGTGTGGCAGGCTCTAATGATTAGCTTTATCTCCTCCATAATTTTATCGCAAAATAGCCCCTCTCACAAGTGACGGTTATGTAAAATATATTCTTTTTGATAACTGTTTTGAACTACATTTAATTTGAACTTTTGAAACTGAGCAGATACCACTATAATTAATCACCATTTAAAGTTAGCTTGAAGGAATGTTACATACTACACAGAGTGGCTCTCATCTTTTCTTTAATATATAAGTAAAATGCCCTGAAGAAGCTGCTTGTTTGTGATTATACTCGGAGCACAAAAAGGGAGAAATGTAGAATTTGCAAAATCCCTTTCTCCTGAGTATCATTCTTCCTATAGGTTGCACATTTAAGTGTTTAAAATAAAAATGAGACTGAGAAGAACTCTTCTTAAAGTTGTTCTAGCTCAGCACAGGCAACTTATGAAAAGGAATTAAGGTCTGTCTTTGGGTCCTTTTCAACCACGTCCTCTAAAGGGAATTACTGAAGCCTGATTAAATAGGAAGCATTGAAATTAATGAATAAATATGTCATGGCCAAAAAGCAATTACCAATTAGGGAGCAGCACAGGAAAATGACTTAATGAACATTGGTTCTCTTGCACAGTCCATTTATTCTCAAAGCTCAATTTTCATTATGGTCATTGAAAGCTGTTCAATTTTACTAAAGCATTTCAAATAATAATGCTGAACTTCTCCTTCACTAATCTTATTCTCTTTCCAACCTCTGCCCTCCCACATGTCCTCTTCTCTGTCCAACATCTCAAAGGGCTGCTTACACTTGTTGCTTCGGATTTTGCACCTACCATTGTACCTTTCCATATTTCAATGGAAATGTAGTGTTTTGTTTCACCAAACGCTCTCACTGACATTAAAAATGGTTTCCATGTCAGTAAAGCCCAAACATTCTTAGATATTTGATTGACTTTCTCTTGACATGCAGCAGCTTTTTGAGATACTGACCACTTGGTTCATTTTTAATTCTTCCCTAGGCCATGCCATCTGGAAAATTCCAGTCACAATCTTGTGCAGCAGGCTCCCAAATTCAAATCTGTGTGTCTAATTTCTCCACTGAGCTTAATCCTACACATTGACTTATTTTTTGGCAATCATTTTTGAATGCCTAACGGGCCCTCAAGGTCAATATATCCAGAATTGTGCTCATGATTCCCCCAACAGTTTCCTTGTAGCCAAAAGGTTGCATGAACCAAAAGCTGAAGGCTTGTTATCTTTCTCCCTCTCCATGTCCAATCCATCACCAAGATGTGTCGATTTTATCACTTAAATATCCCTTTAGCTTACTTACTCCTCTCTACTTTTGCACATAACCTCCAAGTCTGAGGGTTCACATTTCTTAGCAAGACAGCTGAAACAACCTGTAATCCACATCACATTTTCCCCTTCAATTCATCCCCCAGAGCAGCTAACGTGATTTCTAAGTTGGATCATATCACACACACCCCAACATATTCTTTCCACCATTCTCATCCACACTTCCACCCTCCATAAATGGACTAACATTCTGAAGTTTAACACCTACTTTCTAGGACAGTTTTCCATAGTATGCATAAGCCTCTCCGTGGATTTGTGCCTGCGTATCTCATCAGTACCATCTTGGACAATTCTCCCCTTATTCCCTGCATACTGCTCACACAGGGTGATATAGCTATCCTCTGGTTGTCTGCCTGTACTTGGACCACTTTTCCTTCACCTTCTGAGCTGCCACTGACATTTCAGCTTGCCTCTCAACCTTCAATTACTGAGGAATGGTTCCCTTGATCTGCCTGAACCAAATCCCCCTACTACTGATTCATAAAGAAATCTGTGCTTCCCTACATGTTTGTCAGTTTTAATTTAGCATTTCTTGTGCAAGCTTTGTTCAGCATTTCTGCTCACGCTCTCCAGCAGACTGTAACATCTCTGAAGTCAGGGACCTGGGCTGGCTTAGTGCCCCACTTCCTTAGTAGCTCCACTCACCTTTCCAGAAAACAGACTCCCTGTTCTGGACTGCAGCACCACAGAGTCCCATCTTCCTTCAGTTCTCAGTGGCTAAGTCTCTGGCCTTGAATTCCTTCTGATATGACCTTCAACTTGGACTTCCTAGGTGGCAGCAACACTCTGCCTGGACTTTCAATCAATACCAATGTTGCTGACTTGCTCAACACCTCAGGTTACAATTCAGTATTCCTGCCCTGCTTCTGTACACAGGCTGATTTCTGTTTATAATTTCAGAGCTTGTTTCCCTATTCCCAGGTATGCCTTCTTTCAACCCCTTAAATGAACTTCTCACATTCACAATTTCCAAAGATACCGTGATTCAAAGAAAACTCCATGCTTAACCTGCACTATATGCAACTTATGATACTTGAAATGGTGAAGACAGAGGTGAGTTTAAAAGTAATGATATAACAAAAGGTACAACACACAAACATGAATGGAAACAAAGCTAGGGTGACCATATTAAGAGCAGACTATTTAGACTTAAAAACAAGCAACTGTTCAGAAATAAAGAGGGATGTTACATAATAAATGGGTCGATTCTCCAAACTTACATTGTATACATCTTACAACAGATTTTCACAATTTGTGAAGCAAAGAATGATAGCTTTTTTTTTTTTTTTTTTTTGGTGCTGGGGATTGAACTTGGGTCCTTGCATGTATGAGGAAGGCAGCATACCACTGAGCTAAATCCCCGGCCCAAATGATAGCTTTTTTTTTTAAAGAAAGAAAGCTTATGTGATACATGTCATATGTATGCTTCAACACTTCGAGATAATTTTGGTGCCGGATCGAACTCGGGTCTCTGCGCTTGCAAAGCAGGCGCCGGAATCACTGAGTTAAATCCCAGGCCCTAGAATGATAGCTTTGAGGAGTGAGATAGACATATCCTCAGTAGTGGTTGGAGACTTCAACATTCTTTAATCAGTGATCAATTAAACCAGAAGATAGAAAATCAGCAATAAATGACCAGCATTTCCAATCAACTTAATTAACATTATAGACCACTCCACCTAGTAAATTCAGAATAGACGTTCAAGTGCTATTTGGATATTTAGCAAGATCAACTATATTTTGGATCCTAGAACAAACCTTGACAAATTTTTGAGTTTTGAAATAATAACAAATATGCCCCTGGATGACAATAAAATAAAATTAGAAATTAATCATGTAAAGATATATGCAAATCTCCAAATATTTGTAAATTTATAAAAAAAGACCATCTATAAATAATTCTTAGGTAATAGAGGAAGTCAAACTATAAATTAGAAAAATTTTTAAATTGATTAATAAAATAAATAACATGAAAATGTTCAGGATGCAGTTTAAAACATGCTTAGAGAAATTTATACCATAAAATGCTTATATTATAAAAATAGAATGTCTGAAGTCAATTATCTGAGCTTTCACTTGCAATGACTTTTTAAACAAGACCAAATTTAAAGAAAAGTAAGCAGCAGGAAGAAAATAGTAATGATAAGAAGCAGAAATCAATGAAATTCAAAAAGAGAGGAAATCAGTATGACCAAAATCTAGTTTTAAATTATCAATATAATTGATAAACTTCTAGGGAGTAACACAAAAAGAAATTAAAAAAAGAAGAAACACCTCTATAAATCCTACAGACATTAAATGGAAAAGATGGCAATATTACAAATTTGACAATTTAGATGAAATGAACAAATTTATAGAATGATACAAACTGAAAAATTCCATAAGAAATAGATATGAAAG